GGACATGTACAGTACATGTACATGTACCAGGGTATTTCAAAAATAAAGGTCACTGACGGATATGTAGTATTTCAGCTTGTGGTGTCAGGAAAATACAGTGCACAGTAATTTAGGAGAATCCGTGGTCAATTTATACATGGACAGAAAAAATGGATGAAGAAGAATTTTAAAAGTCTGTGAAGCTGAATTAAGGGGCAGGAGAAAAGTGGAGCCATCAAATATTTCAGGAAATTCCGTACTACTGTATGTAGAAAATTTACCAACTAAAAGTCCATGGTCAAACAAATATTTGCAGCCATTTGAAGACAGAAAAATGTAAATTCGTGGTATTTATTTAACAATGTATGGTGCATACAGGTACATTACCCTTCAGTTGTGGGAATTTTGTGGCAGATAAGATTGAAGTAAATAGCAATTAACAGTTACGCCTACAGAATGGTGAGGATACATGTACATGTATATTACCCCTATGCATTTAACACTATTTTACATGTACATGTAGGGCTTACGTACACGGCCTACATGTACCCAATGTACTGTACATGTACCAATGACCACCCCAATGTCCCTCACAATGTATTAGCCTGTTTTATAATTGGTTTGTCCTTCACCAACGTCTATTTATAAACACTGTGCATTTGGTGTTGTCTGAAGGTTTGTGAACAAGACTCACAAGCTCACTCGAGTGGGACTCGAACTCAGGACCTCTTCCTGAAAGTGAATTAACCTGGGAGTGTGAACAGCTTGAGATCAGTATGAGACTGAAAAAAGTCCTTCACTAGAGAGCGTGCTTGGGTCCTAATTCTGAACACGAAAATGTCGGCAGTTCCTATTACTGTCATTTCTAATGTACCGCTACATGTATGTATTTGATTTGTTCAAGGGTGCCGTATGTCGCTCACAAGTGGCTCAATGTCTCTTTTAGTCTGGATTACACACCAGTAAATGTACACCTAGACTGTTTTTCATTATTTTATCATATTATTCCATTACGTAACAAAAGATGTACATGTACTGCACAGTTGTACTATATGGGTCCTTGCAACAGCACAGTTTATTCAAAAGGTTTCCTTGAAGTTTACATAGTTACCATAGTTACATGTACATGTATGTAAATGAATTTCTTTCCTGTTTTTGCTTTGTTTCTTCCTACACTTTTTTAGAAACAAAAAAGTTGTTACAACAAAATGTGAGAAAATTTGTATTAGAAATGTTTCAGTACACAAAAGGGTAAACATCTTTAGTTGCACATGTGTTCTTTCTGGTCTCACTTGTCTAATTCTGGGCTCAAACATGTCCGACTCATAAAAAAATCAAAGTTACTAACTTAAGGCTGGCAATGCTCACAAGGACAAAGTTTGCCCTCAGTTTTAAGACTCTCTGCTTAGGAAATGAAATTGTTACAATGGAATAAATTTTAAAGAAAGATAAAACTTGCAGGGAAACAAAACAGGAAGCGATGACAGCCAGAATAATGGTGTCTGTGGCCAACTCATTTAAAATCTTCAATAATGTCACAGTAAGATACCAACACATGTATTGTTTGCAAGCACACAATAATGTTTCCCCTCATTTGCACTGCAGAGTTTCATGTACAGTTTTTTTATGTGAACGATTCTGCGTTCTTCTCTCTGGTGTTCTGAACAATGCAGCACCTGATACAAGAATTCTCCTGTCAAATGTCGGAAAGCAGTGCACGCTACACGATTTAACCAGCTGTCACTAAGTTCAGTTTGTGCATGGAGTCCACACAGCTGGGTTATTCTAATAATTATGAGGAACTGAAACCCCGAGGATGACAGTTGTACTATATGTATAATGAGTCTTTTGCTACACTGCACTGCTTGACAGCAGTTGAATTCAAAAGATCAATGGCTGTGTCCAGTTGTTGTAAGGCGAGATTGTGCTAGTCTGATTGGAGGCATTGTTTGTGGTCTGATTGGTCTCATAAGCTTCTTTGAGGCCTGGATTTTACGGGCCATTTGCGTGGCTCGGAATGAGGTGTTGGACACGTGGCGGGAGCCTTTGTTGGCCACTGTAATCATGGCTTGGTAGGACATCATGTGTCCGTCGTCTTGTGAGGATTGTCTAGAAACCAACCCACTGCTTTTCTCGGCGTCCGACTTGACATCCTGCTCTTGAGAGGAAACCCTGCCGATGACACCTTTGCTGGAACAGGTACATGTAGATAGTTCTGGTGACGGCTCAAGCAAATCTTGTGCCCCAGTTGACAATGCCTTCCATAACGGATACATGCTACATGTAGTACATGTATTGTGCTGACAGTTATTCTGCCCTGACAGCCGAGTCACTGGCTCAACTAATACTGGCAACCCAATTAATGGCGTCCTGCTCTGCTCTAATGTCTGTTTTGGTGAAGCTGCATTTGGCTGTGAAACACATTTCATATAACTACGTGTAGATGGTACTGCTACTCTTGCCCCTTGCTGTTCTAAACCTCCATCCAACTGTGTGGTCCACTGCTTGGTTTTCTGCCAGTGCTCCAGACACCGACTACAAGTACAGTACGCGACAGTGACAGGAGTTGTTGCACTTGCCTGCCGATGGTGACTGGCATGCAGTGCCCCGAGCTCTGTGTACTTCAGCACCTGCAGGCTCAGCCGGTATGCCCATCGATGCATCTGTGTCGTGCTGGCGTCCATTTGTCGTAGCATTAGCAGCCTAGATTTCTCGATGGCGGCCAGCCGTTTCTCCAGGAGGTTCCCCTCCAGCCTGTTTTGCTGGGCCACCTTTTTGGAGAGCTCTGCCATGCTGATCAGCTTTGGAACACTGTCTCAGATCGTGAAGAGCAAGTGTTCCCACTGCTCAAGCCTGTGACAGCAGTAATGCGTTTATTTCATAATGTAAAGTAAAGAGGGCACTTCACTGGTGATCTAATCAACAACCGTGCTTACTTTTACATCAGTTCCACTGGATTGTTCCACAAAGAATTACACATGAAAACTGCCGGCAAATGAGAAACACACTCTTGTTTGGGTTTCTTCCTTCTCTCTCCTAGAGATGAAACACCGAAGCACCGCAAAGTTATGCATTCACTCCACGAGCACAGTCTACTTATCAACCCAGCCATTATCAAAGCTTTTCCTCATTCTGTCTGGTCCGGGTTGTTAACACAATTTAGCTGTAGAATCAAAACACTCCTTATTCCCGGAACTCTTCCCCTATCCTGTGATCACAAGATCTTCTAGTTTAATGAATAGTTGGCATTCCCCACACATTACACCT